GACCGTCTGAGGGGATGGGACAAATAACTGAAAGTCCAAAGGAGGACACTGGTCTCCTTAGAGGATTATTCTATGAGTCTGTGGGACAGGCCTGAGCTGCGCTGGACGGTCTGAGATAATTTGTGGAAATCACACAAATGGAGCCAGTGTTAGCAGAGGACGAGGAAATGGATTCTTCATACTGAACCCTTTGTCCCGAGATGGGATGCTGGCCACACTAACAGGATCCTTCCCTAAAATGGTCTTGCAGCTTGCACCCTCTGGAACGGGCCTCCAATCTTTTGTAGCAAGGTGGTCCAAGCTACTTCCTTAATCAATGGGGCGTCCTTTCCACCACCACGAACACAATACCTACTCAGGACAGGCACCCAGGTTTCATGGGGGACATGGGCAGGTCCAAGCAAGGACCCAACTCAGCCTCCCCTCCAGTGGGGAACAGCCATGGAGGCCTTTCTGGAGAAAGAAAGAGAGTTCCGTGAATAAAAACGAGGACGGAGAGGTGGTAAGCATTCCCAGCCGAGAGAGGCCGCAGACCCACCTCTGAAATGGCCCTCTCACATCCATATTTGAAGAGGGTTACTCAGAACCTTCTTAGGTTCCATGGGGGTGGGGCTGAGGGTGAAGACAGGAGAAAAGGATGGAAACCTGGGACCCTCTCCACCTCCCTTTAAACAGAGCTCTATGCAGGTTTAAAATGTATAGCTGCAGAAAGGTCCCTGCAGATTGAAAGAAAGGAAAGATTCAACTGCTGGGCCCGGCACTGAAGGCCCTGAACTGTTAAGAAGTCTTACTTTCTACCACCTCAGTTGCAAGAACAACTGCTTGACTCAAAAGGTCAGACACGAGCGCAGGCAGGCAGGGGGCAGGCAGGCAGGTCTGCAAACAATCTTAGGTGGGAAAGTCAAAGATCTGGGTCAAAAAGAGACCTACTTATGGCCCCGATCGTGTATTCCATTCCCATTCTGCAGCGCCAGAGCTGACACCCGACCCGAGGGGCCCAGGTTTCTTTCCACATGGTCCCCATCCTGAGAACTCGGCTCCAGGCCAGCACCCATTTGTGACCCTCTACTTCTGCAGCTGCCTTCCTGTGAGGCCTCAGTGTCCTCACCTGCCTGGGCCAAGTTCTCAGTCAAGACCGCCAACTAGCCTGCCTTTTTGTCTCCAAGTTGAAAGATAAAAAGCAAGTGGATGCGCAGGCCTTCCACCACACTGCCATCAGAGAGACAGGAACAGCAGCCTGGGGTGGATCCAGGAAACCACGCTCATTCTCAAAAGGCAGGCCCAGAGGTGGTGGGCGGCCTCCAAGGGCAATGCTAGCATGTAGAAAGGGCTCAGGAGGCTCTCCTTGGCTAGAACCCCACTCCTTGGACTCTGGACAGTAGAGTCATCTGCCTGAGCCTCAGTTTTCCGACCTAAGTGGTGTAAAGAACGTCTTCTACCTAAATTAGATGCATTGAGCCCCCAAGGCACTGGAGGAGACAAGAGCTCTTTACTGAGCACTCCCTAATTCCCAGGCCCTGAGGAAACAGGGCAGCCTAGGAGGAACAGAATGTATGACTACGCCTTCCTTTCTTCTGTCCCATGTCTCTCCAGAGCAGAGGTTCTCAACTCTGGCTGCCTGTGGGATTCCCCACTCCCAACCCAGTCAAGGGAGCTTTGAAACAACACCGTATCCCTGATGGAGACAGAATCGCAGGAGACTGGGCCTCAAAAATGTGCATTTCAGACAAGGTTCTCATGACACTATTATGCAGGCTACATAAGTTTAGCAAAAAGCAAAACCTAGATCAAGCATTTGCAGGCACCTTCACAGCCTTGGGTAGGTTTAGGACAAGGGGCCCCAGGCTCCGCTTGCCAAGAAGATGCCTTGAGAATGTCTTCTGTGCGTGTCACCGACTACAAACACCTGCACGTTGTTTTCCACATGCTGAGTGCTGGTCTCAGTTTACATAGATGAGCAGTTATACATCCTGGTGACAGCATGTCTGTTACTATCATTTTACAGAAGGAAACTGAGGCATGGAGCTCCTGATTGCCTTTTCATTCAAGCCTGATTTCTTCAGGCACCCCAACATATTGTCATAAAAAAAAAAGGCTCTTAAGTCCAACTGTCGGGGTTCAAAATCTGGCTCTCGCCCCTGAGCCACATGGCTACAGGCAAATCCTTAAACTCTCCTGGCCTCGGCTGCCTCATCCACTTAATGGAGCAATACGGTCCAGGCAGCGTTCTTGCAAGGAAGAAGGTGGATGAAGACAGACAGCAAATGCTCTGGAGGGAGAGAGATGCCGTGTCCTTCCCCGTCTTTCCATCCAGGCTGAGTCCAACCTGAACCCTGCGAGTCTTGGATGCTGAGTCATCATGCTTTCTCTCTCAGGACAGGGCCACCGAGTCACGTCTAGAATAGGATTCTCTGGGGTTGAGTCCTAAGAAGAACTGAATCTTCGGTTCATCAGAAAAACACAATGCCATCTTTCTCCAGGTTCATGTGGAGGCAAGCTCACGCCAAACGGTTTCAATGTACCTAGGGGGGACCCCCAGCTCAGTTGAGATCAGCCTTCCATCTAGGTGGGCAGCCCCATGCAGTCAAAGGCTGCCCCAGTGGGCTGCAGCCTCTGAGCACCTGCTCTTTAGGCTGGTTTTGTTAATCTCTCAAAAATACCTCATTTACACTTAAAAAAAAAAAAAATCATCCCACTCTTCCTCTTTGGCCTCAAAAGTTTCCTCACCTGAAACTCAGTGAAGATGCAATTTCCTTTTGCCCCTCCATAGCAGGCAGGCAAAATCCTGTCAGGAACTCTCTCCACTGCCTTCAGTCCCACCCAGGAGACTCCCACAAAGGGGTCTGGAGACAGAGTTCCAGCTCCAGCTCAGCTCTGACTGGGTACATTCCTCCCATCTCTGCATCTCACTTTCCAGCTGTAAAATGGGAAGAAGTTGGACTAGGTCCTGTATGAGTTTTTTATTCCACATAAACGACCAAACCTTGTTGCTCCAAAAAAACTTCAGGAGAAGAGACCCAAACAGACACTCCAGGGTCCTTCAAAAGCCAAACTCAATACCTCCACCATGCCAGGTCTTGCCGGGGACTCAACCTGTTGGTTCACAGGAGAACCAACCACGCAGAAGGCACAGAGCCAGCCAATTCATCCCACGTGTATATTTCAACTCCTACCTGCCAGGCACTGGGCCAGGGCCAGGTTACAGGGTGAGAAAGGCAAATCCTCTTCCTCGCCAAGGTGCAGGTTACATTCTTGTGGCGGCCACAAGTCACAGGTCAGGGGAACCTCCCATTTTCCATCACACCCCCAAAACTCTCTTTCTCCCTCACACATTCCTTCATCCCCCACCTTTCACTGCCTCAGCCTGAGGCTGGCTCTGACATCACACACACCACACAAAATCAGTCTGCGCCTCCAGCTGTGTGTCTTCCCCACCAAAAGGCAGCCCCTCCAAGACAGGCGCTGGGGTTTGCCCTCTCCACACCTTGCTTATTTCAAATCACATTTGTGAAACTCAGTAAGAACGCCAGAGTTTCTATATAGGAAGAATCTAGATGGAAAAAATCGCCTTGAAACTGCATTTCCGTAGCAAGAACAGAGGGGCCCTATTTAGATATGTTCATTTGAGGAAGCTTAAGAGAAAGTCCCGTGCAGCTAATGGGTAATATAAGGATGTCTACCACCCTCCTGCCTGGCCACGGGCTGATCTCTGAATCTTAGATCTTTCCCAGTAGCTTAAAGGGACCAAGCAAACTGGGGCACTACGCTCAGTGCCCCAGCGTAGTGAGCAAGGGTTATTCTTGGGTGGGCATAAAATAACCAAGGGCCCTGACTCCCCCACCCGCTGCTGGGCACCTCCCACTTCCAAGCCACAGAGGCGTGCTCTTCAGGACCCCCAGGGACAGCAGGGACCATCCGCAGGGGAAGCCGGGGAGGGGTGGGAGTAAGGAACCAGCCCACTAAATCCTAGCTCCAGCTACTAATTTGACAGAGATGCGACAGCGTGTTTTCCCCAGAACCAGCCGCATTCCCCATGCCCTGCCCGAATCTCCTCCCTAGGCTGAATCAGAGACCGAGGCGGATCTCCCAGGAACGTCGGAGTAATTCCAGCTGTTTTTCCCCCCTGGAGGGCAGGAGCGGCCAGTACCGGAGGCAAGGGAGGGGAGGAAAGTGGGGGAGGGTGGGAGGAGGCGAAAATGACGCCACTCCTAGCTCCAGCCAGCTCTGGGGCTGCCAAGTGTCCCCGAGACCCTTCTATCCCAGACCACGTCTCCCACGCTACCGCCGCTGCGCCAACCCCGGGGGCGCACCGTGCCCAAGGGCACTCGCAGACACTTTGCCCCGCTCAGGGGTCGCGCTGTGACACACCCTAGACCCTCTCCTCCACACACTCTTACACTCACACGCACACCCACACCGCCCTGTGTGCACCTCGGGACTGAAGTGCCACCAGCCTCTCGGATCCACACCCATTCCGGACCCAGTCTAGGAGCCAGACACACCCACGCCCCCTTCTCCAGCCTCCTCGCCAGGGCCGCTCGCCGCTACCAATCTCTCATCTACACTCGCGCGCAATCTCTCCGTCTCCCCACAGACACACACACACCCGGTCCCTTCTGCACCCACGTCCAGCGCGCACTACTGCCAGCGGCGCCAGCTGGGATTCCGAGAGGACGCCAGGAAACGCGATCCAGGTGTTTTCGGGCCGTCTCGTCGCCCCCTTCCCGACCCCACAACCCCATATCCCCAGCGAGGGGGAAGATAAATGGGAACCTGCCTTTTTTTCCTCCCTTTCCCTAATTGAAGCGCCCTTTTCAGCGGTCCCGACACCCAAAGGCGCCTCACGCCGCGCCCCAGGATGGCCCGGCACTTGCTGCTCCGGGGCGCTCGCTCCTGGAGCCCGCGGGGCTACAAAGGGCGGTCCCTGGGCTCCAGCGGCACCGCACAGGCGGCCCCTTTCCGCTCCGCGTCGCGCCCGGGAGAGGAGGGCGTGGGCTTACCTAACGCGAGGGAGGAAGGAAAGGACTGTGCCGAGGCGGGCGGCGCGTCGCCCGCGGGAGCCGAGGGCGGAAGGCGAGCCGAGGAAGCGCAGCGCGAACGCGGACCAGGCGAGGTTTGTTTACGTCCCGCGGAGGCCGACTTTATAAGCCCGCGGCCCCGCCCCCGCGCCTCGCCCCTCCCAGACCCCGCGGGCCCGCACGCAGCCGGGACACACCCCTTCCCCGCTCCCTCCTCCCGGGCGCGCCGGGCCGGGCTGGGGCCGTGCTCTGCCTGCGCCCACTGGAGCCGCCGCCTGTTGCGCAAGCGTTCACAGGGGTGCGGCCAGGAGGGGCCTCGGGGCCCGGGTGGTGGGTCGGCTCTGCTGCCCCTCCGAGTCCGGGGCCTCGGCTTGTGTGCGGGCGCGTGTGCCCTGCCCGGAGGAGGACTGTGTGCTCGTGCGTGTTGCTGTGTGTGCTCGTGCGTGTTCCTGTGTGTGCTCGTGCGTGTTCCTGTGTGTGCTCGTGCGTGTGCCTGCGGACTTCCTCGTGTCTCTGTGAGGCCGGAGGGCCCCATCTCGGCCTCAGTTTCTCCTCCGAGTCTAGTCGCGCCACGCCCTGGGCGACTCCCTGCACTTCCTCCGGGTCTCACCCACTCGGTTCCCCAGCCGGATGCAGCTGCCTGCCCGCAGCAGCCGCCTTCGCTTTCGCCAGACCGGCTCCCTCCTTCCTTGTCGCCGAAGCTCTCCGCTGAAATCCTCGCTCCCGTTGAATCTCGTCCATCTTGCCCACCGCCGCCCACCGCCTAGCGCCCCCCTTCCCCTCATCTTCCCAGATCTAAGCACACTCGCTGGACCTTGCCCGCTGGGTCTTCTCTCCTGCCCCCAGGCCCAGAAGGGAGGATTCTAACCCCTTCCTCTTCTGATTTCCTAAACTTCCATGACACACCCTTTCCAGCCTTAGCACTGTCCTGCTCTGCTGCCCTGTTTGTGTGTAACTATTGCCTGCATGTTCTCATTTGGCCACAGGAACCAGCAATTCTAAACCCTTACTGCACATGAGAAGCCCCAGAGGAGCCGCCAAAAAAAAAAGAAAGAAAAGAGAAAGAGAGAGGGACAGTTTAATCAGAATCCCAGGGAGTGCAAACCAACTGGGCATTGGGGTTTTTACAGAGCTACCCACGTGGCTCCTAACATGCAGCCAGGTTGAGAAGCACTGCCTGGTGGAACATGATTTTATGAATAAAGGAAGACTGACAGCTGGCACCATCATTTGTCCTCAGGTCACCTGCCCAGCCTTAAGTTTGCCACTGTGCCCAAAACCAGACTTAGGGCAAGCTCAGATGACCCTCGCTGTCCCCCCACCCCCCGCCACACACACACACACACACACACACACACGCACACCACACACCCTCTCATTTCCTGCTGAATTGTAAACCTCGTTTCTGTGTCAACCTATGCTGTCCCAAGGCAGGGGGCATGACTTTCCTCTCTGCTTCCCATTTGCCCCCCTAGGCCCAGACACTTACTTATTCTGTCATTCCACAAATGACAGAATCGAGCTGGTCTTATGAGCTGGGTCCTGTTCTCCACCACTGGGAAAGGACTGAAAAGACAAAGACCTTTTCTATGCAGCATAGCATAGCACAGCCTCAAGACGCAGTTTCTCCATCCATACAGCATGGTTGAGCTGAACTCATTCATTCCCTAACTATATTAAGGACCTGCTATGCCCAGGTACCATTCTAGACCCTGGGGACATGATCATGAACAACAACAAACATTGTGCATCTTTGGGAGCCATCCTGTTGTCTAAAGATCCTTCAAGCAGTCTGTGTGCCTATTTGCTTTCACCCAGCTTACACTTATCCATTTTTCCATGGGCTCCCCAACTGTGGTGATTTTTTTGAGAGAGCACCTTTTTTTTTTTTTTTATCTGCAAAAGCTACAAGAGTGTCAAGCTCAAAAGTGAGGAGTGTCAAGATAAGGAGTGTCAGGTTCAAAAGTGCAGCAAAGGGGGCCCACTTCTTCAGTAACAAATGGAATTCCAAGTGTGTGGAAGAATAAGGGCATTTTGCCAGGGGATGCCCTTGCCTGCCTCTTTGAGAGGGTCCTCAGGATGGAGCACAAAGAGCAGCCCAGACTTGCAGCTTGAAATGCTGAGGGGGTTGCCTGGTGGGAGGCTGGGCTTGTGCAGAAAGCCTAACCTTCTGGAAGCCATTAGCATTGAACACATCAGAGGACAGGGAAAGGAGAGTGGAGTGAGGAGGAAAGAGCAGAGAGGGGAGGCAAGCATTTGAGCAGTTGCTGGGCCAGGCGTGGTGGCTCATGCCTGTAATCCCAGCACTTTGGGAGGGCAAGGCAGGCAGATCACGGGGTCAGGAGTTCAAGACCAGACTGGACAACATAGTGAAACCACATCTCTACTAAAAATACAAAAATCAGCTGGGTGTGGTGGTGGGTGCCTGTAATCTCAGCTACTCAGGAGGCTGAGGCAGAAGAACACTTGAACCTGGGAGGTGGAGGTTGCAGTGAGCCGAGATCACGCTATTGCACTCCAGCCTGGCAACAGAGTGAGACCTCTTTCAAAAAAGAAAAGAAAAGAATTAGAGCAGTGGAACACAATTTTCCAAGTGAAATCAGAGTCCACATCACCTTGGAGAAATCTTGAGGAAGACACCATTTGGATTCCACACTCCCCCTCTCAGTAAGCCCAACACATTTTGCAAAGGATGTTTTCTTCCACTGATTACCACATGAAGTTTTCTCATGTTTAGCTAAGTGTCAAGCCGCAGGAGAAAGACTGACTTTAGTACAGGTCTGGATGCACATAAAGCATAGAGGACGCCTACTCTCTGCAGGGGCCCCTCACCGGGACCTGGGAACTGCATGCACCTCTACGTCCCCCACCCCAGCCAGCTGAGGCGGCAGAAGCTCTCAGAGATCAATGTGGGTGCAATTGCACTGAACTGTTTACGTGATTCCTCTTTCTCACTGGTCAGCAGTGGAATCAGATTTGCTTAGTAAATGCGCACGTGCTGCAAATCCATCACAGGATGAGATTGGATTTTCTGGACTAATGTCTGCTGGAAATTTCTACTTAACAACACCTGAGATTTTATACTAGAATATTCTAACTAAATGTTCCAAAAAGGACCATAGGAATCACCTATTCGCAACTGTCTTTCTTGGAATTTGTGGGTACTCGAGCTTAGGGGAGACCAGGAGACAGCAGGGATTTATGGGGAAGAACCCAGTGGGCTGTGGTCCCAACTCCACCTTCACCACTTATGAGCTGTAGTATCTGGGCAAATCACTCCACCTCTCTGTGCATGGAGGAAATGAGTGCGAGAAACCATCAGGCCCTCCATCACAATTTAAGGGTCTACTGCAGCAGACCCATAGTCTTTTCTGTCTGTCAAAATGAAAACGTGTCCCTAAAAAGTGAGTATCTTCCCAGCTCCAGTCCTGGGCTCCCTCAGGACCCCCTCTCTCCTCCAGTATCCATCTCTCCCTCTCTTCTGGATCAAACTAATCAACAAGTAAACATTCACTGCAATCAATGACCCACCCTAAACCAATCCCCTGTTAATCCTAAATCCCCCTGCTATGTCTCAACCCAATTCCTCTCACCCCTTCCTCCCTAAACTTTTCAAAGCAGGCAGCTGTCCCCAAAGTCCCATTTCTTCATTTCCTCTTCCCTTAGCTTTGCAGTGTTTATCAAGTTTCTATTGAACCTGGTCAAGTAAGTCTTCAAAACTTGTTAGGAAGAACAACAGCCTTTATCCCTCCTCTTTCCCACTTCCCTATTCCCAAGTCACCACTGTCCTCTCTTGGAGAATTATTTGTCTCTTATCTCAGCCACTTGCAGGCTCTATGCTCTTGGGCAAGTTATTTGATTTCCTGCCTCTGCCTCCTCATGTATGAGATACACATAACAATGTAAGGTCGTTGTGATAAATATATGTCTATAACATATGTAAAGTGCTTGGAACTGTCCCTGGCACATAGGAAACTCTCATTTAAGTGTTAGTCATCATCCTCATTGTCTTCATCATCATCATCATCATCATCATCATCTCATCTCATCCCTCCTGGCATCTTGCACACCTGACCCTAGAGAAGTTCAGTACATATTGGTTGAAGAACTGAGCAGATGCAAATGTTTCTCTTTGAACTCACCCTCTCTTATTCAGTCTTACTGCTTGGACTCTGTTAGGAGGGGAAAGGGGATTCTACCTGCTTCATGATCCCAGGCGGAGGGACCGCCATCTGGGATTTTTAACAAAGTAAAAGTAAATTATCCCATTTCTCTACAAGCATGCTTGGCCTATAATATCAAGTTGTAAGCAATGCAATTAAAAAAAAAAAACTGTGAAAGGAAAACAATTCCAAATGAGGGTAAAGGCTAGGCTACATTCAGGTATATAGTGACTCCTTTACTTTGAACGTAAATGAAGAGTTGTGTATTGTTTGGCCCTTAGAAAATCCGATTCTACTCACCCCTGGCTTGGATGAATTTCCCAGGACAGTTGTAACAAATCATCACAACCTGGGTGGTGTAAAACAACAGCCCTGTATTCTCCTGCAGTTCTGGAGGCTAGAAGTAAAAAATCCAGATGTGGACAGGGCTCTGCTCCCTCTAAAGTCTCAGGGAAGAATCCTCCCTTTCCCCTTCCTGGCTTCTGCTGGTTACTGGCAATCCCTGCTGTTCCTCGGCTTATACAAGCATCACTTCAATCTCAGCCTCTGTCAGCATATTCTCTTCTCATGTCTCTGTACCCTCTCATCTTAACCTACCTAATTATATCTGCAAACACCCTATTTCCAAATAGGGTAATTTTTATTTGTTTGTTCTCTTAGAGATGGAATCTTGCTATGTTACCCAGGCTGGCCTTCAACTCCTGGGCTCAAAAGGTCTTCTGATGTCAGCCTTCCAGGTACCTTGGTACTACAGACAGGTACCACCACACCCGGCTCTTCTGAAGTTTTGCATGGACATGAATTTTTGGAGACAAACAGTTCAACTCGATACATGGCTGATATGGATTTAGCAAGTATTTGTAGCATATTTGCAGAGAGACACACTTAGGGACTGCAGCCCTCCAACACTGCTCCGTTTTGTTCTCTGCTCCTCCCATGCACTTCATCACATGAC